TTTGGCCTTATCCAAAGCCTGATTAGGCATAACCGCCGAGCTCGCCGTCAGCGGCCTCCAGGCCGCCGTTGGCCGCCTTTCTGACTGAGTCTCGGGAAAATCTCGCCATCAGCGGGGTCGATGATGTCGTCAGCGCCCTAGTTCAATTCTGCACATTTTGGTCCTTTTCGCTCCAAATTCGCTCCTTTTTGCATCTTTTTGCTCCAATGACCCTATTTCATCATTCTTGCAACAAAACATCAAAAATACCTTTCTTTAAAGTGCAATATTATCAAAAACAGTATAAAATAGGTATGAAAATCTCAACATATTTTCCTGTGGTCAACCGACAAGGCTCGAGTAACAAAAGTATGAAGGAAGTGCTGACACCAAAAATCATTGACCAAAATCCTGTCAAGTCTCTCCCAGATAGCCCCTCTTTTCCAAGTAAACTCAGGACCCCTGAAGCCATTATCAAATAGACCAGCCTGAAGGATGTTATCACAAAATTGATTCAATTTGGCTAAATTAGCGGTTCTTCCACCAGTATTTTCTGCATATGTGGCAATGCAATTAAAATCACCACCCACAATCCAACAAGAAGTCATTGTAACACTGATATTATGCAAACATGACCAGAGCTCCCTTCTATCAGTTTTGGTACAGCTTGAAAATTATCAAACCCAGAGTGTCCATTAGTCTTGAAATACATGTGGACAAATGGAGGATGGTCAAGCTGAATGTCCCAAGTAATCTCTTTTCTACAAAAAATCTAGATTTTATTGTTTATGTTAGCAAAATGAGAAAACCCAAAAACTTAGAGATGATATGTTGTGGATTTCTATGAACCATTGGTTCTAAAATGTCAATGCACCAAAGTTTATGTTTTTTTGTTGAGTTGTAAAATTCTTTTCATGGAAGAGGGGTGAGCAATGCCTCTAATATTCCAGCAAAGACAATTAATCATGTTGAGAAGGTGGGTGAAGGGAGGGTTGTGATCTTGATCTAGTTCTCCCTCTAGTAGGTTTGGTAGAGGACTTCCTTGGAGAGGTTTGAGAGCTGCCAATATTGTGGATAGGAATATCTGCCATCAGCTTCTTCTGTTCCAAGTTGGATTTTTTTTCTTCTTTGCCTTCTAAACTTGCCAATCATTTTCCATTAATTGGTTCATTTCTACCATCGTCTCAACATATGGTCTTGTAGAATCCCTATGAGTGTCTAAATTAGAACTTGCAGCCTTTTCATTCACAATTCTAATGGGAGGAGAAGGAGCTACAATACTACATTCCCCATCTTCAAATTGGAAAGTCGCAGGGGGTATTGGAGCAAGGATCTCCTCAGAGGGTTCAATTTGCAACTTCTGATGGGTATAAGGAACTTCTACCCCTTTGATTGCTTCATCGATAGGAGTTTGATGCAGAACAACATGACCCTCGAGGGCCTTATTATGAGTAACAACAGTAGCTTTATTTTTTGTAGGACTTGTTGATTTTTTCTTGGTATTGGGGTGCAGCCTATATCATCTATCAGATGTATGACCAAACATTATGCAATGAGGGAAATAATAAGGTTTTTGCTCCATGACAATCTTCTGCCAGTGTCCCTCTTCAATGGACCCTAGCCAAATCTCCTCTAGCTCAGAGAGAGTGATATCACTCTCCATTAATATTTTTGCTACTGAAGGTATAGAGAGGTTGAAAGTAGGGAAGCCCATCTTTAGTGGTCTTCCCAAAGCAAGTCCAAAATTGAAGAGGATCTTATGATTAAAAAGTGTAGAGGAAGTCCTAGTAGTTTGAACCAAATAGAAACAATAGGGAGCTCCTTGCTTGGGTCAAAGTTGGGGGTCCATTTAACTATCTTCATAGAGATTCCATTCATAGAGACTGTTTGCTTGGCAAATAGTCGTGCATAATCCTCTACCAAAGCCAGTTTGATCATAATGTGTTGGCCATCAACCAACCCTAACTTCCAAGCACTAGTGAAACGTAAATTTTCAAAGAGCCTTCTAACAATATCCATCTTGGTTTGCCTATTATGATGAATTTACAATCAGCCTTCAAAGTAACTAGATCCTCCTCCTTGTAATATTATAGCAGGTTTACCATCTTTTACACAAAAAGGGTTAATAAGAGGACATGTGTCCTTCCCCACCGCAGCATCATGAAAAGATTGAGGGAACACCAAAGGTTCAGCATTTTGCAAGGGATCCTGCCCCTTATCAACCACACCAACATATGTGGCTTTAGTCCATTGAGAGTTGGTTGCAACATCAATAGGATTGGCTTCAGCCATAACTGAAATCAATCCACTTCAAAGGCAATAAAGTCAAAAGAGCTTAAGGCAATGGAACAGTAACTTGTGTAAAAATTTGAAAACCAAAAGAGCCCAGGAAGCAAGAAAAACTAATTCCACTTTAGCAAAGCAAGGCAAAACGTAACAAACAGAAGCCAAACTTCAGAAAAACCTCTGTCCGCAGATCACAACCACCCCAAGCCGTCATCATCCCCGTAAAAACCTTAGCAGAGCACAGACCTCCGCCGCCACCATCTCCATATATATATATATGTATATATATATATATA